GCACCAGAGGAGAGCGGTAGGCCATGGCTAGGGAAGACTTGCAGAAGCCGTGTGAAACTAGAGTACCTACTTTGCCTGCCAGCCTGACAATATGGGCAGGTGCCGAATCACGATGAATGCTGACAGTCGCACGAGGGCAAGCTCAGATCGCTGATTGTTGGGCACAGCTGCAACTCGTTCGGCCTGCACAGGGTAGCCTGAGGGGCTGCGCAGCAGAACTTTTCTGAAGAAGTGACAGCGCGGAGTCGGCGGAGCTCCAGGCCTGGAGACTTGACCAGTGACTACTGCCTGACTCTGTAGTCACAGGGATAGGCGGGGACAGAGCAGGAGTCCCACGAGTCCCCCTTGCCGAGCTGCGTCCTTGGAAGCCGCCTCTCGACGGCATGCCGCTAGCAAAGTGCTGGCGCGACGCTCCAGGCCAGCAACATGGTGCTGTGCCAGAACCTCGACTTAGAATCGTTGGCTCCGATGTCCACGGTCTACGATGCCTTTAATGCCTTTGGGCTAAGACGGCTAAGACTAAGAGTTCCCACACTTCCCGTGTTTGTGAAGAACACTCTCTCTACTGCAGGCCACACGCGCCCGAAAAGGAGCTCGAGCACCAAGGAAATGCACTCGATTGTAAGGGAAGCTGTTGTCCTCTTTCACTTGCTCTGTGCTCGCCGAGTCGCCTCCGTGAGAGCTTCTGGTCGAGATAAGATGTCCGCTGCATTCTTGCGCCCCCGCACCAGCAAAGAATCTGCTACTGGAGTTGGGATAGACTGCAAGATTCTCACGTCCATCGCCTGCAGAGCACAAGCAGAGTTCACCTACCCGCTCAAGATACTGAATTCACAGCGCTGCCACCAGATCTGTCTGAACAATGCCTGCGCATTGACTGGAATAGGATCTGCCACCATGACATTCAAGCGTGTCTGGCTCAGAATGCAGCCAATGCAGCACGTAGCATTCCAAAGATCCTAAACTTAGACTTGTGTTAAGTGGCTGTATGCTCAGATTTGCTGTATGCTCACATTTGCAAAACGATCAGATGTGCTTGTGCAACTGTCAGTGATGGATGCTTCCGAGCCCAGGTAGAGATATGACAACCTCAGTTGCCTCATGTGTTGACAGCTTGCGTTGACGGTACCGAACAAGCAAACAAGCAGCTGGCAGCCCAAGATCAGCGATTTCTGCAGGAACTGGCCTGCCGTTTGGGTCCAGTTTCAGACCCCTCCGCACAGGTGGTGGGCCAGCAAGCAGATCACTAGCAACTCCGAGGAGGATGTAAAAAGATGAATTCGTTGCACTCCCATCTTGACAAGAAAAGCCTTCACTGGTCGGCGCCAACCAGTGGTGTTCAGCTTTGTGTGCACAAGACTATTCTGTCTATTCGGGCTGGTGGAACCCAAAGCCCTGCACGAGACTTGAAGCACCTTTGGTGTCTCATTGTGCTACTGCGGTGAAACGCCTATGCCACCTATGCAGCATCCGGTCGTTGGTACATCCATAATCAAGAACACTCCGAGCTGGCCCATTTCTAGATTCTAAATTTCACAGACCCATGTCTAAAAACATGATTCTCTCACTGTGTCCATATGCTGCGCTGTACAGTACAAGCTGATCAAAGCTCATCACCTCTCCAGATCTGACTCGTGGAAAGCTCATTTCCTGAGCATGTGCTTGCTAGGACCACACCGTCCAAGCACCCTGTGATGTTGATGTGTTGATAGTGTCAGAGTTTGGGCGCGCCTCTCTGCGAACCGCTTCAGGCAAACCTCGACTGCAGGCTTTTATTCTGCTGTCACATCGGCATGCAAAGACTGGGCAGTCGAGTGGAACGGTGAATTTGGCTGACCCGACAAAAGGAACCATCAGTCTAAGCACCGAGCCCGCAGGGCCATCTGCACATCTGCGATGGTAAGCTGGTCCGTTGCCTTTCAATTTTCCCATCCGGGGACATTGAAAGCGATGTGGTTCGAGCCTCTGGAGGCAGCCCGCCGACCTTCTGCTTGGCAGACTTGGCCTCCGCGAGGTCTCAAGAGCTTGGAAACAAGATTCATGTTTCGTGAGTTTCGTGCTGTCAGCAACACTTCTACACAAGAATTGAAAGGAGGTCAAGGCTGCGGCTGGGTCACTTAAGCCTACAGTAGCCTTTAGATTGCCGAATCGCAGAAAACCGGTCAACACTCAGCATCGCTGAACGAAGCGTTCACAACTCCACACGACCATCGCAAAATTAAAAGAAGGGGATCGGATGCCCCTGGCTTTCATCCTTCTCGCACGACGCTTCGGCTTGGAATTTCGCCAAGCCCTTCGAGGCGCCGGCACCCGGCGCTCCCTTCGGCCCTGCACGGCTCTGCTCAACTTTCATCATCGAGCGCGTCCAGGGGAACAGCCACTCGTGGCTACAAGTGGGTATACCGGTCTACCTACACAGAGCACGGCAAGGAAAACCATGCTTCTTGTGAAGAAGGCTCGACAGTAGCTGGCGCTTGAAGTCTCTCTTCGTTTGGCATGACTTACGACAAGACCGCAGCACCCACAGGCCAGGCTTGATGCCGTGCCTTCTGCAATCGCCGCAAGAGATGCAGACATCTTCCTCAGCCACGCATCAGGGTTTTTCCACAAGGCGGATGCAAGCAAAGAAATTCAACATTACAAATAGACTCCAAGGCCCGTTCTTTGCACATTGTTCCGGTGTCTTGTCGACCACCATCAAAGAGAATAACTTGTGTACCACATCAAGGAACCTGACAAGGCGAGCATGGCAGGGAATCCGAACTCTGCGATGCACCCAGAACTTCTGGGAGCGTGCGTGAAGACACACCCGACGTTGTGGAACAGGTCGAAGGAAACGCCGCGCATCTTCGCTGCCTTTGAGGGTGCGGTCAGTTGGGTTGGCTGAGCAGAGGCCACCAAGGTCGAAGAATTCCTCCTTTGATCCACATGGCTTCTCTTGTGACCATCGGGTACTCCGACAGTCATGATAGTCATGGGATCAATCGCCCAAGAAAATCGACAAATCTTGGGCGGGAAGCCTGTCGCTAGTCTATCTTGAAACACATCCAAAAACATAAAACCGTATCGCGAGGGTCACTAGAACAGTCGACCGCTTCTGCCGCGGAGGCCGCAAGCTGTTCGGAGGTGCACAAATAAGAGGAGGCTCCAATATGGCTTTGCCAGGCGTGCTGTGATAGGCAATTCCTGCAATTGCCTAGATTCCGGCACTGTAGGACTGTTCCTTTGCAGTGCTGTTCGCACGCACGCAGCCTTGGGGTTCTAGCGCATGGGAGTACAATGCATCTCCTCAAAATGAAATACTGCCACAAGCGCAGACGAGCCTGAAACAGCACCTGGTGACTCATCTTTTCCAGCTGTGGGGCCAACGCAACCTGGCAAACGTTCTCGTCGAGCAACGTAGAACCAGCAACATTCTCCCATCTGTCATGATTCTTGGAGAGGTGTTGGGAGCGAAGAGCATGGCAACCCGAATTAGGAGCGCGGCGCAGTTCACCATTGCCCAGCGTTGAGAGCGCAGGATTCTTTCCTCCTGTGAAGGGGATGACCAGCTCCGACAAAGCCACGACTCTTGGGTTTGCGACGGCTACGCTGGAGCACCTCCGTAAGCTCCTGATGAGCCTTGAAATCCGAATCCTGCGCCTGGCACCGCAACACTTGCACAGCTTGCTCTGCCGCAAATAGGCCCACGAGGCTGAGAGCTGGACCTCCGACAGCATGAGCCCGTGCATGGGATCCTGCTTGACCTCAATGAGGTCTACGTATATTCTATATCTTCCGCCTGCTATGGCAATCTAGGAAAGGAAGGGCTCTCAAAAGGCGGCGCCTGGGCGATGAACTTCAGCGGGAAGAGCATCGCAGCCTTAACTCTGGCAGATGCAGATGTCCAACACTCGACTCAAGACATCTCAAGACATGCCCAGAGAGGCACCGCACCTCGTCCGTCAGGCGCGCGTCCACATCGACCACCCAGCCTCAGGCAGTTTCTTATCTGCGCCCAGACTCGCTTCCATGGCCCGCGATAATCTTTTGCATGGACGAGACGTGAAGTGGGGTCCGTGCAAGCGAAAGGGCTCAACGTCGAGCCAGCACCCTGCTCGGGCCCGCCCAGCATGAGGCTCACCTTTGTCGGAACAGTTACGCCACATGTTGCAACCCAGGTTGAATTTGGCTCTGCTCGCAAACTACAGCTACACGAAGCCGACATTTGCGATTTCCCACGCATTGCGCACACCTAGAAGCCATGAAGATAAGCAGCGATGACTCCACGCGAAACGTGACCAACAAACTGCGATAGGCGGCACACACAGACACACACGTTCGTATATCCAGGCGCGGATGACGAACACAGGCAGCCGATGGCAACCAGCTAGGGCCGCAAGCAAGCAAGCTTTTCTGGATTTTTCTGGTGTGGGCAGGTCCAGCATCGCGCATGCAAGCGCCACCCCATTCCCCGTTGTCCTGCCTCGGTTCTTGCCTGTCGGAAGAGTTTGTGACTTCCTTGCACAAGTACTTCGAAGGTCAACCACGTGCGAGACAACTAATAGCTTGCACATGCATCTAGGGGACACGAATGTGCACTGCTGCTTCGGTAACACGTCTTGAAGTCCATGTTAGCCGCTCAAGGGCACCCTAGAACAGCTCAGGCTAGATCTGCGTGGGATCGACGTTTGTCTGAAATGGCTCTTCTGCCGAGGCTGCAGTGGCTTGGATGAACCGAAGGCGACACCCTAGGTTTGAAAGCTCTCGCAGAAGTTGATCCCGACACAGGCTGTTTAGGTACTGTCCCGACCAAGGGGAAGCTGCAGGGGTTGCCAAGGTTTGTGCTTTCCTCCTCCGTGCGCATGCGAGGATCGTGACCGCGACTGCAACGATCCATGTTAAAGCTCATCGTCAATTTCTGTCGCAGAAGCAATTTTTAGGGACATTTAGGGACCCGGCATCAAACATGAATGTGCAGATGCACAGCTACAAAACGGCTGGACAAGGTGCGGCTTCATGTTTCGGAGTGTTGGGAGGTAGGCCACAGGAGATATGCTCGCACATGCTGCACCAGATTTCGTAGAAAAGGCAAGCCGGTCAGTGCAAGCTTGGCCCGTGCCTGACTATCCTGACGCTGAATTGACGCGGAATCAAACAAAAACTCCTAAGCCCTGCAAAACCTCCCACGCCTCCCAAGACTTAGCCAAGCCCGGGAAACTGGCAAAACGATCCAGGTGCCTCCCCTGCCCATCCCACCCGTCCCTGGACAACAGTGGGAGCTTGTTACTCGAACAACATGTCATGTGTAGCCATGTAGCCCACTGACTACACTTGTTTTGATGCATGCCTCATGTGGCCTACATGCAGAGAGGCAGACACGGCAAGCCCCACTACTGTACTCTGAGACACACGCAGGATCGAAGGACTGGTTCTCCCGCTTCAACTGTTCCTTCAGACATGATACGAGGGCTCATGCCTCCTGCCAGTCTCTGCTGCATGCTGCAGAAGCTCCTCGTGAACCTGAAGCGCAGCATTGTAATCTGCCTGCCTACTTTCAGGCAAGCTGTCTGCCGACCTTAGGAATTGAGAGAAGTTGCGAAAACACCCTCCCTCTTCTACTGTTCGTCTGTTTCGCAAACCAAGTGCAGGATTGAATGACAGCACATTGGTGTGTCTGGGGAGCAAACGGGCGAAAGTCGCCGTTCTCCATGCTTATGTCAGGCGACGGTGACCTTGGGATCGGGCTCTGGTGCAGAGCCGTTCGGACTGGCAGTCAGCTTCGCAGAGGAAGAAGGTCGCAAAGCACCACCAACGTTCAAGGCACCCGACCGGAGGTTGCCAAACATCAGGTCCTGGTTTGGAAAATTCATGTGCCCACTTAAAAGACAGAATCAGCACGATCTCACATGCTAGTCGGCTCCTCCGGGTTCACTGGCGTGTCGCTGCCGATGATTGCAGGCGTCGACTCGCGAGGCTCCTCGTGGCGACAGACTCGGCTCCACTCCGCACTCCAGGAGTGTTGTTGCCGCAGTGCTCTCTGAAGGTTTGAGCGCCAGTCCGACACGAGCTCGTTGGCATCAAACTCTGGGTTGTCAAAGAACACCACATCCTGGGGCCAAAGTGACGCAACAGCCAGATCATTGAACCTGGAGGCGAGCTAGTGCAGCTTGGCGACAGCCGATGCAAAGCCCATGAAGCCCTCGCAGGTTACAGAAACTTGGGCATCTACACTCTCCACATTGACCAAATCCCCAAGGCCCCAAAAATGCAGACACAATGAGGGCATGCACCTTGGCTGCCAGGCAGCGGCCGAGTCGATAGCCCACTTCCTGAAGAACCTGCTCTTGAGGTCTTCCATTGTCCCGTCCCCAACGCAAGTATCTTTGCATCATCCCATGAGATACACGAGTGCTGCAGCCATGCTCAAGAGCCTCAAAGCTTCCTCGTGAGTGCGGGTACCAGGAGGCAGCTCGCACGAAGGGGGTGCTCATAACAGCCTCTCAACACGAAGCTCGCCCACAAGTCAACTGCAGATCTTCGAGCAGCTTTTCTGCCTCCGATGTACCGAGGATGTCAATAGCGCCATCTGGCGCAACTTGGAAATGCCTGCAGGCCATGAGCTCAGAAAGCACGATTTCTCAAGGTTGCTCGGCAGCGAGTTTCTTCGCTTTTCGTGGCCACAGGCCACCGGCGTCTACCTGGACCTAATCCTCCTCGCTGCACCCAAAAAGTTCTCTGACATGTTTGGCCACATTTTCCCCCGCCCCGCCTACCCCTCCTCTCACCGTTTTCACCTGCCCTTTCCCTTCCTTCCTCCCCATCTTGGTCAAGTTCGGACAGTTTTTCTTTTGCCCCAACCTGCCCCCTCCCTGCCCCCTCCCTGCCCCCCCNNCCCCCCCCCCCCCCTCCCCCCCGCCCAGTCCCCCGACCGCGGCCCCTCCTCTCACAAATTTCGCCTGCCCTCCCTCGCTCCTTTTCTCTCACTGCCCGCCCTCCTCCGCTTCCCTTCCTGACCCCTGCTCCCCTGCCTTTTCTGTG